TAAACCACAATTTAATTTTATTTCCCTATACAAAATTGCGAAAAAATGACATCCAAAATTTCTTCAACATCCACCTTTCCAATAATTTTTCCAACACAATTTACTGCGTATCGTAATTCTTCAGCCGCCAGTACAACATCTTCGATATCTAACAAGGAACATTAATAAATCATAAAAAGATAAATTATTAAACAATAAATATTAGGACACAAACTTGAAAAATTTTCCAGGTAATTAATACATTCAGAGACAAGTTGTCGATGCCGAGATTGTGTAATTAAGGCTGTTTGCATAAACGTTGAATCAAATCTATCAATTAATAACAAAATGATAAGCCTGATTATTACAATTATAGTATCACAGTATACTGATTATATATACTTGTCTTTAATCGAATCTAATAATCCAGTCAAGAATTCTTGCATGCCTTCGCCTGTAACACAAGATACTTCCCAAGCAAGATTTGTCCCAAATAGCTCACAAATATCTTGCTTTAATTGTGGGATAATCATCATTTCGTTGTTGCTGACTATATCTTTTTTATTCAGAATGAATAATGTATCTTTGTCTATTGAATTTTTAATAATGGGTTCATCGATAGCTTTAAAAGACATGTTAAAATTCTTTTCTTTTTCGATCTTGTTCAAAATCTCAGGTAATGAAAGAATACATATTTTGATATCGGCAGTCATTATTCTATTAATAATAAATATAGAAATTTTTATTCTTTTCAAAACGTGACGTAAATACGAAATTAATATATCACACCGATCTTTAGCCCTTTTAATGCCTTCGATCTCAATTGCATCTTCCGTTTTTCTTAATCCAGCAGTATCACCAATTACAATCGGATATCCACCAATATTTAAACAAACATCTACTATATCGCGGGTTGTCCCTGGAATTGGTGATACAATAGCAGCTTGTCGCTGTGCTAATAACAAACAAAAAATTTAAAAAAAAGCAAATAATTCAGAGAATCACTATTTTTTTGATAAAATTATATTTTACCTAAATAATTCAAGAAACTGCTTTTCCCAGCATTTGGGGGTCCCATAATAGTCACATAAATTCCATCGCGTAATATTTCACCACGGCGATTATCATTAATGTGATCTGACATGATTTTTACCAGTTTCTGAATATTATGTCTAACTTTTCGACATCAATTATAGTTTTAGCTTTGAAGTACGCGTGAAATGCGATAAAATAAATAATTTACCTCGATCTAAAACCCCATCTTCAATATTTTCGTCTTCTCCAAAATCGATCACAGCCTCAACAAGAGCCATGTTCTCAATCAATTGTTGTCTCCAGGTTTCATATAAATTATGAAGACTCCCCTTCATATTTTCTTATAATGAGATGATTTCGATTACATAAAGACAAAATTCCAGTTTATGAAAAATACAAATATTTATATTACTTGTGCTTGACGTAACGCTTGTCTTCGTTGTATCTCAGTTTCGGCATTTATTAAATCAGCAATACCCTCAATTTCTGTCAAATCAAGTTTATCATTATCAAAAGCTCTAAATAGAATGGATTAT